CATTCTTTTAATGTGACAATTGTTTGACATTATATGACAATTGTTTTTTTCAAACCATGAACTTTATACATCATCACAATTTAGACAATTGTTTTTGTGTTGATGATGTATAAAGTTCATGTGGAAACAATGTGCATAAACAATTGTCCTCATTATTTTTGTACTACCAAACTTTATAGTGACACAAAAACAATTGTCATATAATGTTCACAATATTCACCGTATAATATGTGAAATGGTGATTTTGTCACAATATTGTATATTTCAAATGCTCTCAAAATTTAAGCACAATAGTATGCAAAAACATAGGGCATAATTTATCTAAGCTCAATCATCCAATAATGATGCTTTTAATTAATGCCCAAATATATGACTATTGCATAAAATAATTATTCGCACATAGTAGTCACTATCACATGAATATGCATGTGTCGTATTAAAATATGAAAGAACAAACCTCATCGGTGTATGGTCAAAACTCCGATATGAACTCAATAGTCATTTCCGTTCTGTTCCTTTGCTTAGAGGTTACCACGTATAGCAGTCCACGTTGGGTTCGTTGCCACCAGGGATCTTGCTACTGCTACTTAATTACAATTGCAAATTAATGCAAATTGCAATCAACGTAACCGCCACGGTCCAAAGTTAGTATATAATAATTTCATTCTTGGCATGTGAAATGGATCCCTTTTTGTCCTCCTCTCCATTTCCTGTGAAACAACACTGCAGCCATTCTCTCCTCTCTTTTTTTTCGTTTTGTTTTTGTTTGAACGAAACAACAACACCAGCCAAGAGATGTTCCGCCTCGAAGGAGACGGGAAGTCGGCAACGTCGAAGTTGGGAACCAGCTCCGCCGCCGTCTAGACCCAACTCCATCATCTGCCGGATCTCTCCGTCTTCTCTTTTAGTCCGTCGCCGGCGTCATCCTTTTCCAACGAGGAGCCAAGCCGGATTAGTGAAGATCGGAGGTTTCCTCCGTTATAGCCAGCGCCATCAACGGCGTCGCTTCCCAGCTTTCGTCGCTGGAAAAATCGACCGCCGCCTTGCTTTGCCGGTTGCATGGCCTTCATCTTGTTCATGGTGAAATATTGCTACGAAAAATAAATGAACAAACAGAGTTTTACCGGCCGAGAAAGGCAATCTATAAAAGAGCACTATCGTGCTGATAACGTGTTATGAATAACAACAATAATATATATTAGTATGTAAGAACAGCAGCAGATGGAGGAGGAAGAGATGGATCTATATTATTCATTCGTCTGTGGGTTACAAAGCGTGAGGGGGAATTTATAGTATTAGAGATGAAATAAACAAATACATTCTTTGCATAAGGTGTACACAAAGAAAAACTCGCGTAATTGGTAGACCTGATGACTAAGTACTTCTGTGGTATGTTGAAAATGCGTGTTCGATTCCTACCTCATGAATCAACTTCTTTTATCATGAGTCAGCTCTTTTTCTTTGGAACTTGGAATCTGATCATATTGAACATTTAGTTCAATACTTACTGCATGTATGTCATGACACAAAAGTGCTAATAGCTTGGTGGTAGGAAACTAGGTCTTTATATAATAGATATCTTGAGTTCAAATCTCAACTTGGACATCCACACCTTATTTGCTCTGTTTCATAACACTTTCTACACAGGATGCTTTGTTGGCCAAAAGAGTTCCTTGTGATCTTGTTTATCCTTTATGCGGTTTGGAAAATGAAAATATTCTGCATTTATTTGCTAACTGTGTCTTTGCTCGTCAGTGTTGGCATATTGTAAATGAAAATTGGACTCTATCTTACAGGATGGTTGGAGGAGATGTCTATCTTATGCTGACTCGTTTACAGGATGGTTGGAGGAGATGTGGACGGGATTGGCCAAACATTTGCTTGAGAAAGTTGTCATGATTTGCTGGGCGCTATGGGAAAACAAAAACTCCATGTTGTGGCGTCAAAAAATGATCAATCCAGTAGCCTTGGTGTAGCAAGCGGTATGTTTTCTTTCCAACTGGAGAACAATCCGCATTGATGCCACTCCTACCAGCCACCGCAGGGAGATTGCTGTTGACCGTACCATTCTACATGAAGCTTTCCGGATTTCCATTGATGCAGCGATGGATTACACTAAGCACAGAATGGGTTTTGGCCTTTGCATTCGAGATAGAGATGGCTTTGTTATGGGGGTCATTATGCATGCTAAGAAAGGTTTGTTTGCTATCCGTGAAGCTGAAGCAATTACTGCTCGGGAAGCCCTGAGTTGGTTAAAGGACCATGGGTGACAGCGGTTTGTTCTGGAGACGGATGCCCAAGTTGTATTACATGTTGTCACGGCTAGTCAATCAAATACGCCATTCGGTTTCATTATTCAAGAGATCCGTACTCTACTTCGCCATATGCCTCTCGCAGAATTTCATTTTGTGCCTCGTAGTCGTAATACGATTGCTCACTCTTTAGCTAGACATGCTTTAAGCTATGAGGGAGAGAACATGCTTGAGTTTCTTGATTCTGTACCCCGTTTTATTTCTGCGTTTTGTGCTTGAACTTTGGCTTTCTTAATATATTGAGGTTATTTTGGTTTTCAAACAAAAAAACAATCCAACTAGGTCTAATCAATTGACATTCTCATAAACAAGTACAATTTGAAAGGTGAAAGTCAAAAGGTTAATGAGAAAAATATACTTTTGGTCCATCAATTATTTATTGTTAGTTGTTTTAATTCCTAACTTTTTATCATTGAAATATATACTACCTAATTGTTCAAAAAAGTTGCAGTCCTAACTCTTTGAAGAACAAAATTATTAAATTCTGTTAAAATTTTTATTTAGTACATGGATATTTTAAAAGTTTATTAAATTTATTTTTTATAACGTTTTCAATTTTGGTATTTTATATGTAAAAGAAAATTGACAACTTTCTCTTCTAAAATTTTCACTTCAATTGTGGTACATTTTCCATATTTTTCTTACACGAACATGTTCAAATCAAAATTTTTATTGAGTAAAAGACATTTTTGGTCTTAGACTTATAGTGGCACGGACAATTTTGGTCCTCTATAAAAAAAAATCAGACAATTTGTGGACACTCTTATTGTGACGAGGACAATTTTGATCCTCCGTCAATCTTCCCGTTAAATATCCCATTTGAGAGGGGATATTTCCATCTTTTCATGCACCATCATCTTCTACGATTGCCTCTTCGTCTCCTTGGCCGAAAAGTCACCGGACTTGAGCGTGAAATCTCCTTTCTCAGCCGCATGGGCATCGGCTTCTTCATCTCCATCCTCGCAACTCTCGTGGCCGGCTTCATGGAAATGATGTTGAACTCGAATGCTCCACCCACAAGCCATAATCCAAGTTTGTTTCTAGGAATTCCATTGTTAGCGCTTGATTAGTTGCAACACGCTAAATTCACCAAAATCGAACCGGACCTCAATCTGTTCGACAACTCAAAGCTTCTCATGAACAGAATACAGAGTTCGGGTACACCAGTACCGGAGTCATCATATGGCTTTGTAGGGCGATTTCTTTTATTCTTCCATTCTCTAGAACCTGAACCTGCAGAGGCCCAACCTCGTGAACTTTCATTGCCGTCTCCTCCAAGGCTTTTTTTCCATATTGTTCAAAGTCTTTTCCCCCAAGAAGATTGTGACCCATACTAATCAGGGACTTTTCCAAATTCTGAAATCTTAGAAATAGATTGGGTTGCCTTGCCCCGGGATCCAGTGGCAGGTTGGGAACAATCATCACTATCCACTTTTTTACCCCAACTACCATGAGATCCTTCTTCAACCTTTTTACCACCCCAGGAAGACCAGGAATCTAATTGATCATTACATGATTTAGCTGTCGTTGGGTTTTTGTCAAACAGATCCCGTCCTGCCACCGCCATTTGCATGTGATGTGTCGGTTGAAACCTTAGAAGAATTAGATTGGGTTGCCTTGCCCCAGGATCCAGTAGCAGGCTGGGAGAGACCATCTGTTGGACAACTCAAAGCTTCTCATGAACAGAGTATTGTTTTCCACGCTCGACTCCGGTGAATTTTATAGCCAAGGAGACAAAGATGCGGTTGTAGAAGATGATGGTGCATGAAAAGACGGAAATACCCCCTTTCAGACGAGACATTTAACAGGAAGAGTGACGGAGGACCAAAATTGTCCTCGTCACAATAAGAGTGTCCACAAATTGTCTGATTTTTTTATAGAGGACTAAAATTGTCCGTGTCACTATAAGTCTAGGACCAAAAATGTCTTTTACTCATTTGTATTTTACAAATGAAATATTGAGACTAAAAAAGATTATAATTAAATAAGAAACATAAAAAAAAATTAAAATACTTATGTACTAAGTAAGATTTTAATAGTTTTGTTACTCCAGATATTAAAACTACAATTCTTTTGAAATATTAGAGGTGTATATTATAAAGATAAAAAATTAAGGACTAAAACGACTACCAAGAAATAATTAAGGGAATAAAATATATTTTTTCCGTATTAATAAAATGAATGAAAAATGTATAAACATTCTTCCAAAAGGCTGAACCCCAACCCTGAAAAATGTATAAACATGGAAATATTGGAGGCCGCTTTACTTAATTTTTTAATATTTTTTTTAAAATACTCATGATTTTTTACAAGATAGTATTCGTAGTTCGAATTTGTGACCACCTATCACATTACATGGTAATTGGCTTAGAATTTTTATTTTTATTTGAGTTAATTAATCAATATTTTTAGTCCCTCAATTGTTTCTCAACTGTGAATGTAATCCATAGTTTTCAATCTCAACCAATTTGATCATCGAATTGTTTAAAATTTCGTCAATTAAACAATTTCAGGGACCAAAATGGTGATTTTGACATTTTTAAAATTTTGTTAATTTGAACCCTGAAAGGGTTTAATTGACGAGATTTTAAACAATTTGAGAATTAAATTAATTGAAATTAAAAATTAGGGACTATATTGACAGTTGAAAAACAATTGAGGGACCAAAATGTTGTTTATTTACTTTTTTTTTAAATCTTTCCCAGGGTTGGACAAATTCGGATTCGGACCAAGTCCACCCGGACTCATCACCATTGGTCGATCCGGATAACGCACCTTAAACTCAGGGGCGGAGCTTTCATCTTCTTCCCAAGCAGCAACCTCTCCGCTCTGCAAAATGACCCTCTTGAAGTGTTACAGGCCATTGATGTCGCTTCTTCACTCGCAGTCGCTAATCCCATTCCACAGCCTCAAACTCTTCACCAACTCCGCCACCGGCAGGGCTCTGCCTTTTCCCACCAGAACAACCAGGGTTAGGGTTCGGTGCTTCAGCTCTTCATCACAGAATGCGGTTAGAATTGAGAACATCAATAAAGACAAGGATAAGACTGGGGATCAGTTGAAGAACCACCAATTATGGCTGTACAATACAATGAGCAAAGAGAAGGAGCTGTTCAAACCCAAAATCCCCGGAAAAGTCGGAATGTATGTTTGTGGTGTCACTGCATATGATCTCAGTCACATTGGCCATGCTCGCGTTTACGTCTGCTTCGACGTTCTCTACAGGTGCCCCCAACTAACAGCCTGTTAATATGTTTGTGTTAAGTTATGCATTGTTGTTATTTGCTACACAATAACGATTATGTTCTGCGTTAACTGGTTCTGAAATTTTTGGAACAGTAATTAAGTTTAGTTTGCATAATTAAGGAGTCTCCAGAATGTGCTTGTAAATAAGACTAATTAATTTGTTGTCTACAGAAACTATTGAAATTTGAAATCAAGGAACTTGTATAAAAAAATGTCAAAAGAAGCAGTTTTTTTAAACCATTGGTTACTTGCAAGTTTTAATTTCTTCTTGGTTGATGGTTTGTGAAATTTAGAGGGTAATTCAGTTTAGTCTACCTTGCAATCATAGGGGGGCTGCAAAATTGAAGCTTGGTAGATGTGTAAAGTGATAATCTTTGTTGATTGAAGCTACTAAGAGTGTTGAATTTGAGCCAAGAAAAGTACAGAGCATTACTCTTTCCCCAGGGGTATATCTATTTATGGGCCCACACATACAATTAAAGTCTATTATATGTAGTCTTCTATATATACATGTCTTGGGCTTTAGAAGTTGGTCATGGAACCTAGAGATGATAGTGATTCCATAATGGCGTAAAGTAATTCTTAAAAAAAATGAAAACCTTCCTCGCCTTGCCCTTAGGCAAGCAATGTTATGCTGATTTATTTTGCTTCCATGGCACTTCACTAGTGACCTAAATCAAATGATGTAGGCTGCTATTGATTTTTCAGTTACATTTGTTATGTTATTTATTGAAAGTATAAAAACAATCCAATAGTTAATATGAATAGCTGATTAAGTACTCCATTTGTTTTTATTGAATATTAGGCAGGTACCTTAAACATTTGGGATACGAAGTCAATTATGTGCGCAATTTCACTGATGTTGATGACAAGGTGAGTGATTATTAGTTTATTTATTCATTTATGAGCTTACTTTTATAATTCTTTTTTGCTGACTTGATTGTCTCTTTGCTCTTTTATTAATGTTCCTTGCTGCACTCTTGGCTATAATTCATTATTGTTTGGTCAGTTGTTTACTTTAATAATGAGGACCGTACAACCTTATTTGTTTACAAATACCAAACTACTTTTTACATCAAGATGACAGAATAATTGAGTGTGCAGTTTTCGAATTCTGTAGATTATTGCCAGAGCAAATGAGTTGGAGGAGGATCCAATCAGTTTAAGCAGACGGTATTGTGAAGAGTTTCTTCTTGATATGACATATCTTCATTGTCTTCCCCCTTCAGTTGAGCCGCGTGTCTCTGATCACATGCCCCAAATAATCAATATGATACAGCAGGTCCTTTTTTCTGCTTTGCTTTCTGATTTTGTTATTTTTGGGATCTTCTACACTGTGTCTTATTGTAAAGAGGACAATTACAAGTAACGTAGGAATGATATATTGTCAGCATGTAATATTTGGTTGTGAGCAGTGAATAGAGGAAGATTCAGAAGTAAATACTTGGCTTTGATATGAACAAGCTGCAATGTTGTAACATCATTTTCTTTTTATTATGCTGATACAAAAGATTCTTTTCCGCTTAGTTAAAATTTTTAATTGCTAGGGCCTAGGGATGGTGTCTGTCTTCTTCTACCTCTTTACAAAGTTATGGCATCTCTGTCTCTCACAAAACTGCTAGTCTCATTTAGTGTGATGTAATCCGCTAACTGATGTTTTTAATTTGATGTGGATTATCTGCTTCTTTGACAGATTCTTGATAATGGTTGTGCTTACAGAATCAATGGTGACGTATACTTTTCTGTAGATAAATTTCCAGAATATGGAAAATTATCTGGGCGAAAATTGGAAGATAATAGAGCAGGTGAGCGAGTGGCAGTGGATACAAGGAAGAAAAATCCTGCAGATTTTGCTTTGTGGAAAGTGAGTAAAACTGCTAACTACTTTTCAAATATGAGTTTTCATTACGATATTTGGATAAACTTTTGTACAAAGTAGTTGATTTAGTTTATATCTAATTTAGTATGTATACTAGCTTTTGCAAATGCTTCCAAAAGGTAAGGTTGTACTTGAGGTCAAACCAACTGTTCATAGATCTTGCATCCTGCAGAATCTTGGAAACGAAGATGCTATTATTGGCGTGTAATTATCAATAAAAAGTAAATAAACTGATGGTATCAATAAGATACTAGTTTGTACTCTTTGAAACCTGATCTTATTTAAGATGAACTATACAAAACTACATGAAATAAAAAGTTATTCCTTTTATGTAAAACTATAGCCAGTTAACCATCTGACTTGGCCTTTTATTATTTATTCATTTCTTCTTATTTTGGTTGGGTGGATGGTTTGACCTAGCTAAAACTGCAGATTAAGTGATGCCCATTTTTCCCCTTGATGGATTAATTTCAATTACTCATGCAGTCTGCAAAGGATGGAGAGCCTTTCTGGGAGAGTCCGTGGGGTCCAGGAAGACCTGGATGGCATATTGAATGCAGTGCTATGAGTGCGACATATTTAGGGTATTCTTTTGACATACATGGTGGTGGGATGGATCTTATATTTCCCCATCATGAAAATGAAATTGCACAGAGTTGTGCTGCATGCAACAAGAGCGCTATTAGTTATTGGATGCATAATGGATTTGTAAACATTGACTCAGAGAAAATGTCAAAATCACTTGGAAACTTTTTCACAATTCGGCAGGTAGATGAATATAAGTTCCCTTCTGATTTCCTTTTCACATGACATTATGGCCTTACTATGACAGGTTACTTATTCAATTTTCTTTAAATCTTCCTTGCCACCTTACATTCTCTCAGGTTATTGATATTTATCATCCACTGGCATTAAGGCTTTTTCTAATGGGGACACATTATAGATCTCCAATTAATTACACAATTGCTCAGCTTGAGAGTGCATCTGATCGTGTTTTCTACATCTATCAGGTAGATAAATAAGTAGCTTTGTTTCTCAGGGTAACATGCCTCTTCAATGACACAATATAGATAGATATGTCAATGTTCAATTTTTTCCCTCAAATTTTTTTTTTCCTTCCCAAAACACACTTAATTTTTACAGCATTTTGACTTTTCCTATGTATCAATCTGGTTGCTGTGTATTAGCCCATATATACTTAAGATCTCTACATTGTCTTATTATAGTTTTATTTTTTAAATATTGACAATTCTCAGAATTTTAAATAATGCTTCGTTTTGTGTGTGCGTGTGTGTGTTCACTTGTTAACTTGTTGTCTTGACAATGAAAAAACAGACATTAACTGCTGTATTTTTCTTGATGTAGACGCTATATGATTGTGAAATTGTTCTCACCCAGCATGATGGATCAAGTAGAAAGGATTCAGTTCCCTCAGGAACTGCTGGGTGCATTGAGAAGTTCGAGAATGAGCTTTTGATTTCAGTATCTGATGATCTGCATACTCCTGTTGCTCTGGCTGCAATGTCGGACCCCTTGAAGATGATGAATGATCTATTGCATACTCGCAAGGTATTTAAGTTTTAAATAGACTGGCCAGAAACTAGAAAGTGTCATCTATATGCCTTTTGTGTTTATTAATGTGTAACTTTCAAAAGGCTTATTGGTAAAATATCTTTTTTTCATTGATAAAGCTATGAGTTAGACTAACTAATTGATTGGATTTTAGTATTTTAATGTGGTTTGGCCCGTATGCATTATAGCCTAGTTGAGTGACCTTGGCCCCATCTTAGATTATAACATGGTATCAGAGCAGTCTATGGTTTAGACTAGCTATCAGTCTTTTAGTGTAGTTCAAGCAAGGCCAAATTTATCATCTTTACAAATGACAATGAATGTGTTGTTTTCTTCAGGGTAAGAAGCAAGAATTGCGAATGGAGTCACTTGCTGCTTTAGAGAAAACTTTAAGGAGTTCTCTGACTCTTCTGGGGCTCATGCCAAGTAGTTACTCTGAGGTACAATGATTGTTTAAGTGCCACAATGTATATCTTGATCATCAAATTTAAGCATCACATCTGTGCGACACTTGTTGCTTTACCCATACGTGCTACTTTTTTGTAGGCTTTGCAGCAGCTGAGGGAGAAAGCATTAAAGCGCGCCAAACTGACCGAAGATCAAGTTTTTCATAAAATAGAAGAGAGGGCCTCGGCGAGAAAAAACAAAGAGTATGAGAGATCTGATGCAATACGAAAGGAATTGGCTGTTCTAGGCATTGCTTTGATGGATAACCCAGAAGGCACAACTTGGAGACCAACTATTCCATTTGCATTTCAGGAAGAGCAGTTTGCCACAACCTGATGGCTTTGATGGATAGTTTTTTTTTTTTTTTGGATAAAATATGAAGAAGCACACACTTTGTAGGAACATTTTGTAATTCTTTCTGCAAGAGATTTTCACTTAAGGTTTTGATTTTTAATTCAGCTTTAAGTGTTTCTGCAGTACTTGTTTGTTCAAAATTTTCTTGTTCAAGAGATTTGACATTCTTAACCAAAACATGATTTAGCTTGTACCCGTTACTGCACGTCTTCATAGGTCATACTCATCTTCAGACTGAATGTCCTCATCTCGCACTAGTTCTTTCAATTTTGATTCATCTGCTAACTCTTCGTTCTGCCCAGTTGAAGAATTTTTCGAAATAACAAATGTTCCCATGGAATGTGACAAAGTTGCTGGTTTGTTGTTGTTCCTGCTCATCTTCGTCAGAATCTTCAACATCGCTCGATAGTACGAAAACTTTTTCTTTTATTATTTGCACAATCTGCTTGTATATGCCCATAGCTCTCGCATTGGTAGCACTCAACTCCTTTTTGTTTGTAGTTTGTACCCGCAATTTTTTGCCTTTTGACTGCTCCCAAGTCCTTCACGTTTGGCATTTGATCCTCTAGCTTTCCTCTGCTGCCTCTTGCCTTTTTAAAGAATTTTATGAATTTCTTTGTCAACAGTGACTTGACTTCATCCGTTTATGAGTCTGAACCTGCAATTTGAGTAGTGACTCCGAATGCTAGTCCCTCGTTCTTCTTTGAGTACTTTTTTTCCTCGTCCAAATCCATCTTGAAGGTTTGCAAGTTTCCCATCAACGCATACAAAGTAAGTGTTTTCAGGTCTGTAGACTGTTTTATGAGAACCGCTTGCTCTTAAATTTTGGAGGTAGAAACCGTAACACCTTGCTGAGCATTTTTTCTTCCTCGAACTAACGATTTTCCTAACTTAAAGGCGTTGCTTGCAAGGCTTTTGATATGAACACTAAACTCTAAGATAGTTTCTACCTCTTCCATCTGTAGACTCTTATATTGAGACATGTGCACTTGTATTTTAAAAACTTTCACCGATCCAATACCTTCAAAGTGGGTCTTTAGTGCATCCCATTCTTCCTTCGCCCTATCTGTGGTTGATATCAACATGAACTGATCTAGACTCATAGCATTATGAATAACGTTCATGGCTATGTTGTTTGCGGACACCAACCTTTTCTCATCTACTGTCCACTAAGCCACATGTTTCTTCATTTCCTAGTTCTGAACCATCATCATCGGTGGAGTCCAATCGTTCTCCACAGGCTTCCAACAGTCTTCATCCAACGGTCTTATGAAAGCTTTCATTATGGATGGCTTTCCAATATGCGTAGTTGCTAACACCTTTTAGCAATGGAGGTCTTGAAATTGAAGCACCTTCTTCCATCTTGCAAGAAAAACTCAAGTATCCCTAAGATCCCAATAATAAATCGAACGACACGGCTCTAATACCAATTGTTAGTTTATAATGTAGGAATGTGGACTAGCTAAACCTTAAACGTCCTCAGAGAGTAATAGTATGATTTGTTACTCTTGGTACTATTCTAGACAGTTTGCAAAATTAACGACATATAATAAAAATGTAACACCCAGATATTTTTAATGTAGGAGAACACATCATTTTCTGCGGAGCCACATTAAAAATTACTTTTTTAGCAAAGTACTAGTAATTTTGACACTTTATAAGATTCATTGATTTACTAAACTAGGACTAACACCTTTTAAATATTAATCTTGTAAACGACTTTCTGACGTGAGAACAAATCGTGTGCATCCATCTAATATTTTTAATGGTCTAGATTAGATTAAGTGTGTGCGAACGCGCATTAAATGTGTGCAAATATATATATATATATATATATATATATATATATATATATATATATATATATATATATATATATATATATATATATATATATATATATATATGTACGTACATACATCTAACTAACAAATTATTGTGTGGATCATGATCCATATTGTGTTGTATGAACCATAAAAGAAGAGTGAATTCCATTTTTGGTTCTACTGTTATAGGGGCGTTTCCAATTTCAGTCCACTTTAATTTTTTTTGCCACTTTACAACCACTGTTATTGAATGTGTTCCACTTTTAGTCCACCGTTAATATTTCCGTCAAGAGTCCGTATAATCAAATGGTATTTTGGTTTTTTTATGTTTGTCTCTTCTCTTTTAATCCAGGCGCTTCGTCCTCCTCCTCCGATATTCAAAGATGGCTCTTTGAACAACGAGAATGGGAAGCCAAAGCTACATCGTTTCGTTCGTTCGAACATGGGCCGACGAGGTTTCTTAGGTTTTAGGTTTAATGTTCTCATTTCTTTAGTCAAACATAGTCTTGGATGAGAAGAAAGGTCAAAATACCCCTAGATTACACGGCCTGTTGATGGAAATACTAACGGTGGGACTAAAAGTGGAACACATTCAATAATAGTGGTTATAAAGTGACAAAAAAAAAAATTTAAGGTGGACTAAAATTGGAAACGTCCCTATAACAGTAGGACCAAAAATGGAATTCACTCTTCAGAATTGCATGCATAATTATACATCCATAACTTCATAACTACAAATCCAGAATTGCATAACTACACATCCATAATTTCATAACTATAAATCCAGAATGTGAAATTATAAAATTATGAACATATGTTTACGTAACTAACGGCAATCGAAAATGATTTTTTTTTTTATTTAAGTAAAACGATGCCGTTTTTGCATTCGTGTACACCATGCATGGTGCACACGGATGCACAACATAATTTGTCGTGGAATTGTGTCCACCTTGCAAGGTAGACACAGTTCAAAAATTGTTCATAATTATGAATTATGAATATATGTAGTTCAAAAATTATGAACGTAGTGTTGTGAACATAATTATGAACATAGTGTTGTGAACATAATTATGAACATATAGTTCAGGAACTATTAACATAGAGTTCTGTAATTATGAATATAGAGTTCAATAATTATGAATATGAAGTTCAAAGATTATGAATATATAACTTTATAATAATGAACATATAGTTCAGTAATTATGAACATAGAACTCTGTCCACCTTGCAAGGTAGACACGGTTCCACAACATAACTATTCGATTGACCCTGTTACATGTAGTATCTGTTCATATAAACTTTCTCAACCTATTGAAACCCAAACGTGTCAAAAGGCTCTTATTTAAGAAACCTTATATTATGGCTTCTTATTTTAGTTTTTTTTTTTTTTAAATTATTAGGGGGTTTAGGGAAGACTAACCCAAAATGTATATGAGTTGTTTTAGTTTTTAGCAGTTTCGAACAAATTGCTAAGTTATTAAATAATATTTTTGGTGTTATGATTAAATATAAAATGTTAAACAAACGAATTTCTTAAAATTTTGGCGAATTTGCCCAATAATCAAATTACAATAACAACAACAATAACAATAACAATAATAACAACAACAACAACAACAACACCACCACCACCACCACCACCACCAACAACAACAACAATAATAATAATAATAATCTATATTATATATAAAAACAAAATCCTGAAATTTTAACTTCCCGCCCAATTCCTAAAAAATCCCTCTTCATATAAAATATATTGATTTTTACTTTCCCATTCGTACAATAATTCTGCGTTAAAATTCTATTCTAATATTATAAAATAGTGTAATACAATCTATACTATATATAAAAACAAAATCTTGAAATTTTAACTTCCCAGCCCAATTTTTATTTTTATTTTTTTTTAAAGTTGTAAAGTGTCAAAATTTCGGCACGGCATAACTTTTGACTCCGTTGTCCGTTTTGGACAAATGTTTTTTTGAAATCGCATATTTTTTTCGAGACCTATCCTCCGCAAACCGCCGTAGGCGGTTTGGCCCACCAATTTCTAAAAAAAAAAATACTTTATTAAAGAGTTTCTAAGAAAAAACTATGAGAACCTTATGTTTTATTAATGAATTTTTAAAATTTTTAATTAAACAATTGTCCCGTGCATTATTTAATAATCTTTTTTTATAATTGGTCAAATTATTTAGTTATGTTAAATTTGGGAATAATTAATGATGGTAATAGAAATCTTAGAAGAATATAGAATTGAACAATATTTAATTATTGTTATATTATTATTGTGACTCACGGAATACAAGAGTTAATGCCATTTTTGGTCCTAGACTCATTTGGACATTGACACTTTTCATCCTCCATAATAAAAATTGCCACTTAGTAGCCACTGTTATCGACCGTGAATTAGAAGGGTTTTTCTGTCTTTTTATGTTCTAATCCTTGTATTTCTCCATCCATTGGTCACTGCTACATCCATTTCTTCAAACTGAGGTTATCCGCTTCAGTAATATTACCCAACCCCTCCCGTAACCTTTCTGCATCAACTATAATAGGTATGCCCCTACTCTTTGCCTCCTGCACTACAATCAAAGCAGTCTCATGCAGCCTTCCATCTAAGTAGACAATATTTACTCCAAGCGCTGAAGACAATTTTGATTTGGGTATGTAGACCCTCAGATATCATGGGTGGATATCCTGGAGTGAAAATGCACGTGCGAGTTTTTTTTTTTTTTTTTTTTTTTTTTTTTTTTTTTTTTTGGTTGTCAACAATGACATATGTGAATGGTGAGTTTCCTTCTTTGGACACCACCATAAAAGATGTATCAACACCATCTCTTTCAAGCTCATCAAGTATTCTTTCGCCATGCGAGTCATCAGCAACCTTAGATATGATCCTTGGATTAAGACCAAGACGAATTTTATCATCCGGGTTTTATCAAAGCATTGCCAGTGTTACCACCTCCTTGAACCTCAAAGCTGGTGCTCCGAATTCTATCATCCGGGTTGGGGAATGAAGCTACAGCAGCCAGGAAGTCAACACCGGCCATTCCAACACCTCAGACAATGCGATTTTTGGGGAGCGGCGGATTCCACATTTTTAGCTTGAAACTTCAATGAATTTCAGGTAGAATAACAGAGTTTTTGAGGTTGTGCACCAAGTAGTTGTGGTCAGAGAGAGAGAGAGAGAGAGAGATGGGAAAGATATTTGTGGTCAATATGGAAGGGAGGACTTACAGGTGCAAATTCTACATCACGCCATCTACAACTACAACTGC